AATTAACTTGGTAGTGCAAAAGGAACAAGTATTATGATTTGATGAACAAGTTTTCATTAAAAAAAAAACAAGTTCCATTTTCATTTTAACAACAATAAATTTCTTATTAAAAACTTCAAAAAATTAACTTTGTAGTGGAGAAAAATAAGTGTTGTGATTTGGTAAATAAGTCTCCGTTCATGAAAACAAAAGTTTCATTTTCATTTTAACAATAATCAATTTCTTTATTAACAATTTCAAAATAAAAAAAATTCTTAGGTAAATTAGGTGCATCATGTCATTTGGGGCCTATTCAATAAAAATATGACATTTAGATGATATTAAATATAAATTAATTATAACATTAATGATAATAAAAAAATAAAAAATTAAATATGTATTTTGTTATAAGAATAAAATTAATTAAAATAATATCACATAAAATTTCATTTAAATGACTTGGGGCATTATAATTGTACAGACTATAAATAACGTGGTGTATTTAAAAATTTTCCCTTCAAAATATTGATTTGGTGGAGAGAAATTATTGTAATATGATGAATAAGATTTCATTTGAGAAAAAACAAGTATCATTTTTATTTTAATAATAATCAATTTCTCAATCACAACAAATATATATAAGGGATATATTTTTCTTTCCATAATAAATTTTAATTATATTTAAATGCTTTGATCTTGTAAAGTAATATTAAAATGATTTGGTCTTGTAAAGTGATGAATTATATCCTGTAATCCTTGTTGTAATTTTCTCAAAAATATTCTCGTGCGTTGCATGAGTCAAAATCTAATTAATTATTAGTGTACCGATGAACAACACATGAAGCTTCACGGTTAAATATCTTGTACACCTAAATTTCCAAGACAATTTATGGAGAGACCAGCGAAAGACTTGAAATGTAAAATTATTTCAATCTCCATTGATGAGACCGCGTGGCACACACATGCTCTCGAACTTTTCTCGAGTCACATCCTCACCAACCCTCCAACAACCAGACCCATGTCATTTATTTGAAAAGAATAATTAAAATATTAATTTTTTTTTAAATTACATCTTTCAAATGGTAGCCTTGAATGGAATAAAAATAATATTTAATTTATTAAAAATATTTTCATTAATTACTTGAATGGAATATAATAAAATAAGAGTATAATTAAAAATAAATAAATAAAACCTATCTTATATCATATATTTTGGTTTAAATAAGACTTTTATAAAATATTTTATATTGTAATTCAAAAAGTACTTTTAACTAAGTCAATAACAAAAATATAAAATTGTAATATGTGCGGAAGTGGCTCATACAAAAGAAATGAGGGATAAGCCGTGGCAATTTTACAAGTAACTAGATTTTAATCTCGTGCGTTGCATATAAGAAGATGTGGTATGAGATCATATGTTCATGTATTTAAATTTAAGTGTTAAATGATAAAAATGCTCATCAATTTTTTTTCTTGAAAGTACTCAATATTCTTGAGTGAATAAATATGCAATAACACGGGTATGACTTGTAAAAAATGATTTCATATGATTATACGTTATTGCACATTTTGTTCACTTAAAGATACCAAATACTTTTAGAGAAAAAAATTGTTGATTTTTGGTACCCTTTAATCCTAAATTTAATGTACTATATAAAAATGATTGTTAAGTTTTTAAGAGAATGATTTTCTCTTTGTTCTTCTGATTCCAACTTATTTTTTATTTTTTTAGTTAACTTGCATTGATTTACTCTACGCTTTTTTATTTTTTTTAAAAAAAATTGAACCAGTATATATGTAACCAACAATTGGTAATTATGATGTTCCTAAATAAATAAAATTTTGCAAGTCATACTCTTGTTTAGAAACTACATTCGTATTTTGGAAGTCCTGTTTTTATTTTTCAATCATTTTTAACATGAATATTAAATTTTGAATTTTGAAGTTACCTCATCGAAGAAATTTTACAAGTAATTTGGCTTCACAATATGATTCACGAATAAGTGGCGCTCGCGTTACAGTCAGTGCACAAATGTACTCTTCACTTTTAGGGAAAAAAAAGGTAATACATGTAAAATTTGTAACTTTGTATCCTGTGGTCATGATATTTTACATTCCTGTATTAAATAAAAATTAAAAAAATAATTTAGGTCATATAAAAGGAAATTTATTTTCTTTGAAAATGACCATTGTCTAATTATCAACGCCTTTTGTCATGTTATGAATAAATAGGATTTAAAATTTAAAAATATTTTATGAAATTTATAAAATTTTTTAATAACAAACTTTTTTCTGTGAAATTTGAATGTAATTTTTTTTATGAAAATATTTAAATTTAAAATAAATTTTATTAAATATGTAAGATTTTAATAATGAAAATAAAATATAAGGGACACCCACGAGAGAGCAATCAATCATCATTCCGAATGATGAACGATACAAAAAAAGCTCTCTAACAAGTGAGTTTCTTTGCCGAGGTGGGAAGGAAGAATTTGAAGAAGGATTTGGATGAGAGCAGTGGAAGCTTGTCAGGGTACCCTACGAATCGTACGGACGCATCCCCGTACTTGCTGGGGTATAGTTGAGTGGAAGCGACGTTTAGAGTTAAAAATACGGGCAGATTCAATGTTTAGAGTTAGAAATATGAGCGAGCCTCACTCTTAAGGGCCTAAGCCTGAAAGTTCGATTTTTTATTTTTAGTCTCATTTCTCAAGCCCGGCCCTTATATAAAAGGCTCAGGGCCGAGCCTGTAAGCACTTTTTAAATAAAATAAAATAAAATATTATAAATTAATTAAAATATTTTGAAATTAAAAATTTAAAATTTTTATAATTTTTTAAAATTAAACAATACACATTTAAAAGTTTAGTAATAAAATTCAAATCTTGATTAAAAAATAATTTATTTTTTATAAATACACAAACATAATAATTATAGAAAAATAAAAAGTATAAAAAATTTTATACTATACACTGATATTTATTAAATTAATTTTATAATAAATTAAAATTAATAATTATATAATGCATGTAGGATTAGGTGAGTAGGTCATTGGCTTCAAACATATGTTTCACCAAAGAAAAAATAATAATAATAATATAACAGGACTTGAAGGGCCGCCCAGGCCCGAGCTCGAACCTTTTTTTACCGAGCTTATCAGGACCAAGCCCTCAAACTCGATTACTTTAAATTCATTTTCAAAGCCCAACCCTCCAGACCCGACTCTTATTCCCAGCTCTAATGATGTTTCAAGACCACCCCACATCTTTCAAACCTCACATATCATTCTTTTTTTTATCCTATCAATAAAATAAAAAGTAAAAATTAATTTTATTTATTATTTATATAACGTTTCACTACTTTTTATATTTATTTTTATTGTTTTATAAATGTTATTAAAAATTATTTCTTTTTCCTTTATTAAAATAGAGATAAAAATTTATTAAATTTTACAACATATTAATAAAATTAAGAATTTTTTCCTTTTGATAAAATTATTAAAAATAATTTTTTATTTTTATTAAAGATAGAGTATATAATAAATAATTTTAGAGAAAAACACCCCATTTAAAAAATGTAATATATTTTTTAAGAGATTTAATATTTTAAAATATAATATTATTTTAAATACTTTTCATAATAAATTATTTTATATTTGTGATAGACTCTTATTAAATATGGATATATATTATGAAAAAATAATATTAATTTAAAAATAAATAAATATTTTATTAAAAGATGAAATTTAATTAAAAATATATTAGATTTTTAAAGAGAGGGGGGATTATAAAATGAAAGATTGGCTGAGAGCAATTAAATGAGTCAGTGCAGTCGGTTAACTCTCAAGTCTTCTCCGTCAGACCCACCACCCAAGAACTCAGAAGCAACTTCCTCACCGTCACTCATTTTTCACGCCATCCTTTAATTGGATACCGTACGAAATGCAGCCCACGGGATACCGTATGAAGACTTTGGACATTAAAACAGCTCTTTTTTCTCAAACCTAACACTTAGAAATTTGTGGCCCACAATTAAAAAAAAAGAGAGAATTTTATTAAAGATCAAGGATGTGACATTATTATAAAGCAGACCCAAATAAATTTTAATTTTATTAAATTCTAATATATAATTAATGAAATTTAGATTTTTTTTTATTTTGATAAAATATATGTTGGAAAGTGAATTTATAAGTAATAATTAAAAGTAGGAAGAATTTTAATAAGGGAAAATGACAATTAAGGATCCCCTATGGACATTAATTCCACTTGAGGATCATAACATATGAAAATCCTAATTAAGGACCCATGGGATTTAAAAAAAAATGTAAATTGTCTTATATGTCCCTGAGAAAAAATATCAAAATACTTCCACGCAACCCTATTTCTACTCTGTTTCAGCGTTTCCTGCTTTTCTTCTTTCATTGTTGTTCCTTGATGTGTCCATATTAGCTCGAGTGTTGTGAACACATCATGCCAAATTTGGGACTTGTTGTGGTTCATCTTTGTCAAAGTTTCATACTCTTTCCTCCCACTTAGCTTCACCCTTCTCAAATGGTAGTGACATTGGCACTGTCGAAGAGAAAATTGATTAACAAAGCTGAAGAAATTATTGATGATGAACACGCCATTGAGTGAAAGAATAGTACACTATGGTGAAGAGATTGTTTAGAACAAAAACTTGCAACCTAAGAATGGAGAATGTAGGATTGGCTATTCTAATAAATGAGGAAGAGAAACTCTCCCTAAAAAATAAAAATGATGTCTATTAAACACACAAATTGGATCATTCATTCATTTCTCACAATAACCTCAATACCAAACATGCTTTGATGGATGAATAGCAAAAAATATTCATAATGCAAAATCATTATGATAGATAAAAAATGATCTATGATAGTATTATCAATAAGTTGTGAAGCAAAAATTAACGTAGCACATATGAGTTAAACTAATATCAAATACTAAATAAAGGACAATAATAAATAAGTAGAACTAACTAATGCAAATATGATAACCCATAATGAATTTAATGCTGTTATTTAACTCCATTCTCGTGGGACAAACAATAGACGAAAGTAGATGACAACATGAAAATTTTTAAGTTTTTCAGACTCTGATCCAGTTAGTGAGGAATAGAGAATAGTTAAGCTCAAGTTAAGTAAACCAAAATACACGTCCATGTTAAACAATCTTATTCCTAAGTTGGGTTTTGTGTTTTCATAATATGCATTAGGTATTTTTTCAAGTTAGGTTAATGAATTTTCAAGTGATATTATTGGATTCCCAATTTTTTTATTGATGATTTTAGTCGTTACACGTGGTTATATCCACTCAAGTTCAAAAGTGATGCGTACTCTGCTTTTGTTCATTTTAAAAATATGGTTGAAAATCAATTTAGTCTTAAAATCAAGACGTTTAGGAGTGATAACGAAGGTAAATATAAACGGCTTAGTTCATTATTTTCTGAAGCTGGCATCATTGCTCAATTTTCTTGTGCATACACGTCCGCTCAAAATGGACATGCAGAACGAAACAGCCAACATGTGGTTGAAATTGTGTCACGCCTCTTAGCTCAAGCCCATATGCCGTTAGTCTACCAGTGGGAAGCCTTTGCAACTAGTGTTCATATTATAAACAAGTTACCTACCCTTGTTTTGAATAACAAGTCTCCATATGAGGTTTTATGGCATAAGTCTCTAAATTATGGTAATCTTAAAATTTTTGATTGTGAGTGTTATCCTTGTTTAAAGCCTTAAAATTAGCATAAGCTCTAGTTTCACAGTGAATGGTGTGTCTTCTTGGGGTATAGCGGCAATCACAAAGGGTTCAAATGCATGGCTCCATCAGGTCGTGTTTATATTTCTTGTCATGTCATTTTTAATGAGAATGGGTTTCCCTTTACATGTGAGTTTTTATCAGATACTAAAGTTTCACCAATTGTTCAGTCCATTGGTAATTCGTTTTGAGTGGTTTGAAGTCTCAGAATTTGCTTCTCTAGTTTCTTCTCCTATATTTGATACTTCTATGTCTGATTCATCGCTTTCACCATTGGGTCCTTCACTTTCTTCTATCAGTGACTCTTCCGATACGTCCATGGCCACCTCACCTAACGCTTCTTTATCTTCACCAACCCCTTCTACTCATTCTATGGTGACTCATGAAAAATATGGCATTTTCAAGCCTAAACATCCCTTTATAGGTGTTGTTATTGGTCTTGATAATATTGAACCTCGTTCTGTATCTGAAGCACTTCAGCGACCATGTTGGAAAGTTGCTATGCAGTGAGAATATGATGCTTTACTTTGAAATCACACCTGGGTCTTAGTTCCACCACAGCCTCAGTATAATTTTGTTGGCTGTAAAGGGGTATGGCGTACCAAATATAATTGTGAACACTGTATTTTGTCCGGACGTTTTCTAAATTTAATAAAAATAATAATAAATAACAAAAAAAATATATAAAAATGCAAAAATAAAATTTAATCCTTTTTAGGATTATATTTTTTAAAAAATAATTAATAGAGTTTAATTTTATTTTAGATAATCATTTGTTGGTTAGGATTTTATTTCTTTTAGTTCATTAAAATAATCAAAAAATATAAAAACAAAATTTAATCCTTTTTAGGATTATATTTTCAAAAAAAAATAATTTAACAAAATTTTAAAAAAATCTTGTTTAAATCTTTTAAAATCTCTCCCAAATTATCCCAACCATTCAAAATATTAGGAGTCAATTTTTGAGAGTTAATTTTCTTTTTCTTCTTTCCTTAAATCTTGTTGTTTTTTTTTTAAAAAGAGAGAAATATTATAATTTAACTCAAAATTAATTTTTTTTCCTTTTTTTCTCTTAATCTAATTCTTGAAGTTAATAAACAAAAAAGAAAAGAAAAAAGTGCAGAACATGCATTTTGCATGAGCTTGAGAGAGGAAATGAGAAAAGAAGCAAAATGCCAAGCACATGCATTTTGGCATGAGATTAAGAGAAACACAGAGAGCAGCACACACATGAAAACACACAGAGAAAAACGCAGAAAAATAGGAACTTTCGGCCATGCAGAGCAGCAGACACGAAACATACGCACAGCAGAAACACTAGACTCATGTACGGATAAAGAAAATACAGAAGACGTGCACAGCAAGAGGAAGAGCCCAAGCTTTAACAATAAAGAGAGCTGACCGAAAGAAAGGAGGAGGACCGAATTTTTGCTCCTGGAGGCGAGAACGAACGAGAAAGGGACAGGGGCAGAAAAATAAAGAAAAACAGAGCATAGACAGCATTAAAACCAGAGATGAAAACACGGACGAAAAAGAAAGCAGAGCAAAAACGCAGCATGCACGCAAGTGGAAGAAAAAGAGGAAGGAGAGAACACAGACGTAGCATGCACATAAGAGGAAGATTGAGTAAGGAGAGAAACTGAAAAAAAAAAAAACAGAGCACAAAGGAGAAAAGAGAAACTGGGGACAGAAAGAGAGTGGAGAAGCAGACAGAGAGCGAGAGGAAATCATGGCCATTTCCGCCCCAATTCTGGCCATCGTCGCCTCCTTCCACCTCATCTCTTTTGTTCTAACCGTCGGTGTTGAACACTGTCGTAGCATGGCTAGAATCCAGCCCGATGAGTACGATGACCGAACCTTCTGCGGCCTTGGCTCTGCTACTGGTCAGCCAGGTGATGGTTCACGGTGTCACCACATGCCTCTGTTTCAACAAAGGGCTTGTCAGTGGTTGCTCCACCACTTGCGCCATCTTCTTCTTCATTTTCTCTTGGATTACATTTCTGGGAGCAGAAGCATGTTTGGTAGTAGGATCAGCTAGAAACGCGCGCTCTCTCTCTCTCTCTCTCTCTCTCTCTCTCTCTCTAGTTCTCTATCTCTTCCCCCGCCAAAGAGAGTTGATTCTCAGCCAGATCTCCGAAGGTTGCGGTCGGAATTGATGGTAAGCTTTCTCTCTTAAATCTTTTAGCTGTTAGTTTACTCCACAAACTCTTGGGTATATTTTACTTTAAATATCAATAATTATTATATTTATAGGTTAGTTCTTTTAAATATCAAAGCATGCTCATTATGTCATCACTGAAAAGGAGCCAATTTTTTTGGATGAAATTTGAATTTTGTAATTGAGATCCAATAAAAATAAGAGAGAATGCATTTGTTTGTTACTTATTTGTTGTGTGAAATTTTAAGAATTTTCACCGGCATTTAAAATGATCTTATATTATGTAAATCAATAAGATTTCGCAGGTATGAGGATCAAACCTGTATATATTAAAAAAATGGGTTCTAATGGCTTACCATTAAAAGTAACTCTCTTTTTATAATTTTAAAAAATTAATAAAATATTTAAGTCTCATGTGAGATTTCAAAAATTTTCATAGAGAATTAAATTAAGTACATTATTGTGTGGGATAATAAATCCTCACAGATATCACGATTTTCATTTTATATAAATTTTGTAAATAAAATAATAAATGTTTTTTATTAATTAATTAAATTAATAAATTTAAATTATAATTAGATTGTCTTATTAGATCTTTTGGTCACGAGATTTTTGAAACTCCATAAACCTTTAGGATAATCGTATTACCGTATGAGTCAATAAGGCTTCACAGGTATAATGATTAAGATTTCTATATTTAAAAATATATGTTGTATAATTACGCATTAAAATATATTTTAAGTGAATATTATTTAATCTTTTTATTGCGTGAGACTTTGAATATCTATAAATATTTAGGATAATCTTGTATCATGTAAATCAATAAAGTTTCAGAGATGTAGGAGTAAAACTGATATGGGTTCCAAAGGCCCATCATTAAAATTAACTCTCTTTTTATAATCCAAATTAATAATTTATTTAAGTCTCATGTGAGATTTCAAGAATCTTCGTAGAGACTTAAATTAATCACATTATCGTGTGGGATAATAAGTCCTTGCAGATATAGTGATTCTCAATTTTTATAATAATAAATGATTTTTATAAATAATGATATAATACACAATTTAAAAAAAATTAATTAATCAAATTAATGTATTTAAATTGTAATCATATTTATCAATTATATTTTTTAATCATGTGAGATTTTTGAATCTCTGTAGACTTTTAAGATAATTGTATTATTGTATGAGTCAACAAGACTCTGCAGATATAACGATTAAGTTTTTAATATATATATATATATATATAAATTATATATTAAATCAATTAAATTAAGAATGTACTTAAGTGTATATTATTTAATCTTTTACCATGTGAGATTTTGGAATCTTTGTAGATATTTAGGATAATCATATCACCGTATAAGTCAATAATGCTTTGCAGGTATGATGATTAATGTTTTTTGAAAAAAAGTGTATATGTACATACATGCTTAAAAAACTATTATTAACACCTAAAAATATAAGTAAATTAAGTTGTTAAACTCTTTTATCATGCGAGATTTCAAAATCTCCGCAGATATTTAGAACAATTATATTATTGTATGAGCCAATAAGGCTCTGCAGATATGACAGTTAAATTTTCAATCATAAAATATAAAAAAATAATTTTAAACCCTTTTATTTTCTTTATTTTAAAAATTTAAAAATTGAGAAAATAATTAAAATCAAATTACTTTTTGCAATTTAAAACACACATATCAAAATTTTAAAAATTGTTTAATTTGTAAAATGGTGAATTATTTCTAATTAATTTCTTTTCATAAAAAAATATATTTTCACCAACAACTTTAAAGCCCGAACTATATGAACTTTGATCCCCATCACAAGGTATGTAGGCCTTAGAGTTTGATTCTGAGTCAAGTCCTCCCTCATAAATAAATAAATAATCCTCATTCTATTATTATCATTTTTTAAAAAACACGTGAATAAGAAAGGGATAATTAAAATAACTGTAAAACTGTATTAATATTGTACAACAAATTTTAGGTAACCATTCTTACGAATGAGCGTTGTAGGGTGCCTAACACCTTCCGCACACTCAACCGACTCCTAAACCTATTTTCTATTTTTGCAGACCATCTTTATTCTCCTTTAATTGATTTCCAAGATTTACCTCAAAATTTTGGTGGCGACTCTCGTTCCATCTGGTTCTCGCCCCGAAGGTCAAAACTTCCACTCGAGCGCCGTCCGTGTCGC